AAAAAAAAAAAAAAAAAAAAAAAAAAAACACATCATAGTAAAACCAATACCTTCTCAGCTTCGCATCGAAGCTAAAATAGAAATGAAAATAATAATAGCGATTACACTATTATAACAACCAAAAATAATAATCGTACACATAGTTAATTCTAAAAACAAATTGCCCAATGTAGTAATATACTAATATTTTTCTGTATGGACGACGCTGCTGGTTGTCTAAAAGCCATACATAAGATTGCAGCTTAACCTTACACGCACGCACACGATTTTTGCACCTCGCTTATAATATACGTTTCAGAATATTACTTGGACGATGCTGTCGGTCGTCCAAACACTGCTCGTGTGTGTATGCGTACCCACGTATACTGAAAGAAACAATTTAAATTTTTGCATACGACAAATGTATTATAACTATTTTACTATTTAAAAATTTTGCATTTTTAATAAAAATGTAGAATTATGAATATACAATTAATTTTTTTCTTTAATTTATTTTAGTAAGGGGTGCGACGTCCCGTCGTCCAAGTCAAAAAGTCGCCACTGGATATAATATTGACACGGCCGCTCATCAAAAATATAAGGGAAATGTTCGACATTACATTATGTAGTACCCACGTAATAAAGAGTCGTAGAGACAAATCTTACCACTAGGCCACCGTATATTTAAAAATTATAAAGTTGAATACAAACACAAGTTGTAAAGTGATGTTATATTATATGTTGAAGAATATTTGGATGATTCATAAAGTTTTACTTCACTGTATTCTGGTAAAGAATACTTAAAAATTTTAACACAGATGTGTCATTTTACCAGGAATAAATAAGTTACTAGTGTTAGAAATTACAATGAATATTCTTATAGCTGTTTATTACAACTTAATGCATTATTCTTACGTTTATATTGTAATTTATAAGAAGGAACTTGAATTTGAGTATTCTGTAGTTGAGACTTGAAAATGTGTGTACATTCACTATACATTTTTTAAGAAAAGAATAACACAAATGCCTTTTTATTTTTTAATAATTAAATTGTATTTTAGGTTATGATAAATAACTCAAGAATTATGGCCAGAACATAATTATTCGGTTACAATAGATAATTCATAAATATTTTCTTTAATAATTTTAAATAGTAAATATCGACATTTTTTAACTAATTTATGTAATATTTTTATTTTTTTAAATTTTATATAGTTAAATTGGACACTACAGGTCAAAACTTTTCAGCTTATAAATGTATTTTGTGACTACGGCTACTTTTTATAACGATGTTTGTAAACAAGTATGTTTAATTTTATTATGAGTTATTGGATAAAGAATTTGTATACTTATTCTTGGTTAGTTTATCTAAAAATTGTCGGTTTTTGTTTTTTGTGTTTCTCCACAGATCTCAACAATGAAGTATCACAAACTCTTACGACGACAGTTCAAAGAAAGTACTCTATAAAATCTTTTGAATTAATAGATCAACAAAGAAATCATGATAAATTATCAGAAGATAGTGAATTACAAAAAAAAAAGGTAAGTAATGTCAAATAACAAAACTTTTCTTCTCAGTAAAATTTAAAAACAAAATAAAAAAATTAGAAGAATGTTTATTAATAAATAATAAATAATTAAAAATTTTAATATCAGTTAAACCGTATATATCTCAAAGATTCAAACCATTGATTTTGGAATTAGTTTTTCAGTTCTTATTTCTGTTATTGTTTATAATTTTAATTAAGTGGAAATTAATATGTAGAAATTACTTTATTACATATTAAATACACAATTATTTTATTCTTAAAATGACAAATTCTATATCAACTTAAAAGTAAATAGTGTGATATTTAAATTAACTCGACAAATTTTTTTTTATTTTTAGATGCTCACCAAACAAATAACTGAACAAATATTCAAAGCGAAAGCAGATGTACAACTTAGTAATCAGGAAGCTGAGAAGACCCAGCAAAGGGTAAATGATGCTATTACTGCATTATCTGAATCAAGGAGTCACGTTTTTGCTGCTAGCATGCAACTGATAAAAGCACAAGAAGAAGTAGCTAACGCGGCTAAGTTAGCGAAAACTTTACAAATAAAACTTGCTACTGATCATCAAAAAATATATGATGCGTATAAAAAAGTTGACTCGCTTACGTCACTTTTGATACCTTTAGAAAATGACATTAGTGTGGCTGAACAAACTTATAGACTCCGAAAATCTGTTCAACATTTTTTTAGTACTGATAGGTCAACCAAAAATATAAATGGCGATACCAGTTATATAAACCAATTACTATTTTCGCCATTATTAAGTACATCAAAAAAAAATACTATTATCATAAAAAAGACAAGAAGTTAACCATGATACATAAATATCATTTTATTTTATTATTTCTTAATTATTTTTTATTTAGATTAGCGAGTAAGTAAAAGGAAAATTTTCAATTATTTTACTACAAAACTTTATTATATATATATATATATATATATTTTTAATATCATGATTTTTATTTAATGAAATTTAACTTTTATAGTTAATAGAGGAAGCAAACATTTCAAATTGATTTTATTTACTTTCAATTTATGTATAATTTAATGGTATTTAAATTTTTTCTCATTTAAAAATATTTGTTAATGTTATAGATATATCAAATTAATAAAATGTATCTATAGTCACTAGCTGTTTATTAGAATTGAAATTGATATAGTGTATGCGCGGTATTTTGAGAAAATTGATTCTAATAACTTTTGATATACTTAATATATTGTTTCTTTTTTTTTATATGTTCGATTTGAAAACGTACAAATAAACAAAAACATTTAAAATTAAATTAGAATTAATATTATATCACCTTTAATAAAGAAAGAACTTGTTAATCAAATAATATTGGTAAAACTAAACTTGGAACCAAATAGTTCTATGGGGAAAACCTATTAGCACAAAATTAAAATAGCTAAAACTTTTTTACCAAAAAATGAACAATATACTTCACCAAAACAAACTATTTGTTTCTAAGAGCATAATTTATGGATTAGATCATAAGAATTCGCTTCGAAGTGTTGCTGAATACTGATACGACCCCGCGACACGTGCCACCTTTATGAGCCGTCGCTCTATTACATGTGTCGTAATATAATCGTCACTATTATTTATATGGGATAACACTAAAATACCCTGTTCATGTACTCAACAATGCTATCTTTTTAGTATTTATTAATATATTCTTTTTCATTTCAAATAGTCATCACTTCTATCCATAGAAATGGTTCATTTTAACTTGTTTCATTATACATTATATTCTTACAAGGACATGATCCTTTTCGAACAAAAATTTAGATAAACATTTAAGAGTAATAGTCATCAAACTCACATTGTTTGGCTACATTGTAGTGTATACGGTTCGGTCATAAATCAATTAATAATTACTTTAAAAATCCTTCCTTACCAAAAGAAAATCTATATATTATTTTTGTCATTTTTGTTATTCTACTATTAATAGTTAAATGCATTGTATCAATTTTCGTCTTGCTTGTAAAAAAACATGTTAATGTTATATATATATAAATGTCAAAATAATTTATGTTCTATTCATCTGTATTGATCTCTGTTTTTCATGATTACTTATCAATAAACAATTATACTAAAAATTCGACAGTGACGATATTTGGGGGTAAAAAAATATTATAAAAAGCCAGAGCAAACCCTTGCTCCTGGCTGTTCATTTCATGCTCCGTATTGGGCTGTTCATTTCGTGCTCTGTATTTGGGCTATTCTTTTCGTGGTCCGCATTACGCTTTTTTTTTATCGTGCTCCGCATTAAGTTGTGCGAACGTAGTAATCGTCATTGTCGAAGTTTTATGTGTTAATTTGTGAACTAAAAATCTGAACTTGTGTATTTTATTTATCATCTTCACTTATATCAGCACCAAGGATAATTATAAGAACCAGAGAATTTACCAAGTAAGATTTTTTTACATCGTTGTTTTATGACCCTCGAATTACACCCCGAATCAATAGTAACTCTCACTTACACATTTTTACACCAACAATAATAATCATTCTGACCCCTTTTTAATTTTTAGAATACTATTTTATATTTTTATTTTTGAGTGACGACACATGTGTGAATAGTTTGACTGACTAATATCGCAAGCCATACACCACGTTACAAAGTTCAGCAAGTGCCGCACGTCCGACGACGACCCGTCGCAAATATACGTGCATATCATCTTCATCACGCCACTCTATTTGGATTGCTCCGAGAATACCGATCGACGTACCTATTGATGTTCCGTAGCGACACTACGTTCATTCATCACCTTATCAACTCTATAATTATGTTATTATAGTTGTCATTCGCTAGTTATACACGTTTTGGATTACGTCTTTGAGTCATAGTGTATGTGGTGCTGTTACTGTTTTGACCCTTGTCAAAGTGTTCCATAAGACTTTTCGTGAATAATAGTTAGTTTTTTTTATAAATAGACAATCGCCCTTGCGATTCGCGTGTACTTTAGTACGCAAATATAGTAAATTCGCCCTGCGACGCGCCTGTACCCATCTACATCGCCATATCATCGCCTTGCGATTAACCACATACCATTGATGTTAATGAATTGCATCCACCATTTGGTTGAAAAGTTATTCATTCCAGATCAATTCATTTGTACAACTTTTCAAGACTACAGTAATTATTAAGTAATTAATTAGTTGTCATTATATTATTACTTTTACATATATTACTATTTATTTGTCTTCGCGCCAATGTTGCATTAGTATTAAGTGACCCCCCCATCCACAATCTTATAATAGTTTAAATATATATTATTACTTTAATATAACTTCTTATATTGTAATTCATATTATTTTATTTGGTGTAAGTACCATCCTTTTATATTACAGTCCATTCCCTATTTCTTTCTCCGGCATAATTAGATAACCCAACTGGACGTTAACTAACCCGCACATTAAACCGGGCGTTCCGTTCAAACAGTTATTATCTATCGATTTCTTTTAAATAAGTTTATAATTAAAAATTGTTTGATATATTTAATCAAATTTATTGATATTTATGTTTTATAATCAATCTACTGTTCAAATGTACTTCATTCGCTTTGAACTATTTTTTTATGTCCAAGCAGAGTTTATATTAGAATACGATTTTGCATGTACGCATAACAATATATTTTAACAATGGATGTTTTATAGTTATATATATAAATTACATAATTTCAGCACGGTTATAATTATATTATTTTGTACATATATTATCAGGTAAGTACAGTCTATTAATAATCTTATTTGACTCTTATATGATGTAAAAGCCTATTGTAAAAATTGGGACTTATCTATGAAATCTATAATGTACAACGTCAAATCACAGTTACCAACATTCTTATTAAATTTGATTTTTTTAAATAATCTAGAAATAATAGATTGAACATTTTCAATAATCATTTTATAATAGAAATGCAATAATTATAATTAGAATATTATTAATTATTGTGTATACGATGGGTATATTTAATAGGAAATGGACGATTGACCCCCTTGGAAAAACTCTATCAATATTTTTTAAGGTCAATATCCAAAAAATATAGCCTATATATAATTTAAAGACTTTTTTTTTGTCTTTTTCACTTTAATTTTCAACAAAAAATTGTCTATTACATCTTTACCAAAGTAAAAACAATAAAATGCCCTACAAATGATTTCTTATTATGCTTCTAGTGAATATGTTAGTAAAGAAATGTCAATTTTATACCCAATACATTTTACTATTTCTGAAATTTTTAATTTTCTTGATTTTATCAATTGAATTTTTAATATATTTTTGTTACACTGTTTCTGATCTAATATTTTTCCTGCAAAACACCTATCGTGACCGACGTAGCCGGGTACTCTTGTCTGAACCAATGACTAACTTATAAGTACAGCCCAAAGAGGTTTACGCGTCGAAGGCGCATGAGGTTAATAGGGTCTCGGGTCTGGGGTGGAGCCTCAGCTAGTCATAACTCAGTAAATTAATAATTATAAAATCACTTTATTTTAAAAGTACTTAACACTTAATTAACTTAAAAAAAACTATAAGAATAATATCCCAAATCATATTTGCTATCATTTTTTTCCATACCTGGCTATTACAATAATAACATGTCAAAAAGAAAAACAACTCTTGCTATTAAAAATGAACTGAATGTTTAGTAATTAAATTTCATAATTCTAAATTCTAAATATGTGTGAATATGAATGCACTTCAAGAGAACTTCAACTGAAAAATCGTATTGCTGAATTGGAGAATAAGCTTCATGATACGGACATGAGTAAGTGTGAACATGACAATAAAAATTACCAATTGCAAAAAGAAATTAATAAACTGAATTGTAAAATTAAAACACAATCACAAAATTATGAATCAACATTCAAAACTTTTATGGTTGATTATGAGGCAGCATGGCAAAAAATCAAAACACTGGAATCAAAAAACGAAATACTCTATGAGGAGAACCACAAATGTAAACGCAAGATCCAAGAATTGAATGAAGAATTAAGATGTATAGACATAAATATTAAAGAGTTGAGTGATTTAAATAAATCTTTGAAATTTGAAAATGATGAGTTAAAGAATGAAATTTGCATGAGCAAAAATACAATAAAACACGTGCAAAACTGTTTAAAATTAAAAGAACAAAAATTAGAGACAGTTACCAAAGAAGTGCATAGAATGAGCTGCAAATTAAAAGATTTTGTTAAGGAACACAGTTGTAAACAACCCAATGCTGAAACTGAATATAGTATATCTAAAATTCAGCAAGTATGTGTTTAATACAATTTTGTAATACTTAATTTGTAAAATAGATTATACAAATTTCCATTTTTGTAGGAGTTCGAAACGCAAATTAGACAACTCCAAATTGATATTGATAGCAAATCTTGTAATTTATCAGAACTTAAAAAGAAACTGAAAGATAAAGATTTGGAATTAGACAAACGCCATCACGAACTGTGTGAAGCAAAACATATGATAGGAAAATTAAAAAACCAGTTTGAATGTGAACAGAATGAATTGAACGAAAAAATAAACTGTATTAAGTCTGAAAATGAAAAACTATTATGTGAGAATCGTACAATAAATCAAAGATTAGCAAATATACAGTTTCAAAATAAACAATTGAAATCGCAGTTGAAAGATATGGAAGGGAAATTTGAAAAGCTTGAAAACGGTTTATGTGAGACTCCTTATGATTTCAATAAAGATATATCTGATAAAAGTCACACGGATTTAATTGTTAAGTTAATTCATTGAACATTAAAGACATCAATAAAAATGTTATCATGTTTTTAGGACACGACAACGTACAATATTTCAGATGAATATTATCAACATCGTATGGAATTATTAAAAAAATCGTTAGAAAAGAAAACGCAATCGTACAAATCAAATGATTGCGATGTTAATAATGATGACAATTATGACAAATTATCTTCGAAAGTATCGAATAGTTAAACATCTAAAAATACAATTAAAAAAAACACAATAAATACATTTAAGTACTCAAATAAGTTTATAAAATTAAAAATAAATATTAATAATTTAAATATTTTACAGAATTTGAATAAATTATACAAATTCATCCAAATTAACGTAAATTAAATTATATCCAATAAAGTCCCAATCGCAACTTATAATGCTCTTCAAGTCCACCTCGACTTTATAGATAAATGGTCCACAAATTGGAAAATTAAAATCAATGCAGACAAATCAGTAAATGTTCCTTTCACTCTCAATAAAAAAAATATGCCTGTTCTCTCCTTTCAAGGAGTTCCTATCCCTTCTTCGACTCAAGTCAAATATGGTATAGTTGGTATTACACTCGATAAAAGATTAACCTGGGGTCCTCATCTCAAATCCAAAAGAAAGATATTAAACATTAGATCCCACTTATTACGTCCTGTATTAAAATCAAAACTTCCTGTACATAACAAAATAATTATTTATAAGTCAATGTTAAGACTAATTTGGTCTTACGGAGCCCAAATATGGGGTTGTGCCAAAACATCGCAGTTTAAAACAATTGAAGCCTTCCAATTAATTTCCCTTCGTACAATCACGTCCGCTCCTTGGTATTTCTCCAATCTTACCCTACATAAAGATTTAAACATTGAACCAGTCGATATTTTAGTTAAATTATACTACAAAAAGTTTCATTCCAAATTACTTCTACATCCAAATCCATTAATTGCTAACCAACATACAGTTACAATTCCGGACAACCCTCCTCGCCGTCAAAAAAGACGCTGGTGCCGTGACCTTTTAAATTAATATTGTGATGGCTAAATAACCAATTCAAGTCAAAAGGGTTCCATCTCTGGATAGCTTCCCTTTTCCCGTTTTTAAGTCATATATGTTATATTCTATTGTTCACCTATTATAGTGAGCCAAAAGTAAGGTTTTGATGTGATAATAATATAATAAATAAAATTGGGTGTATTGATTAATTAATTTGAATTTTTGAGCACTTGAATAAATTATCTTACTTTCGGTTACTATAATTCAGTTTGTTTAATATTATTGGGGTCGTGGAGTCCGAGGGTTTTAGAGAATGACAATACAATTTAATAAAAGGGTTATGATAAATATTGAGATTTAATGTGTGTATCAAATTTTATAAACTTTGGTGAATCATTTGAATAGTCTCACGTTTTAAAGGCACGATCTTAATTCGGCAACTAAGAAGCGTAATAAGAAAATGCGTAGGTACGATCTTTGGTCAAGCACTTCGAACGCATTTAATAATTCTCATGAAAAACCAGTCAATAAATTTAGTATGTGTAAAGATAAATTAATTACTATTGTTTTGTCATTTTCTTCTCGGATTAAATAATTCCAAATTATTGGAATTAAAATGTATCACCTACTTTATAATGTTTTGCGGAATTAATATAAATAAGACTGACAAGTTTTCTTTCTGAATGTTTGAGAGACTGGTGGTCTATTGCTTCATTTGATTCTTGGCTTGAAGAGTGGAATGTCTCCATTTTATAGCTTTTTACGGCTTTTTATATGAAATCTATGATCTATATATGTCACCAAAAATGTAAGAATTGACCACCAGGGCTCTCATCTTTATTGAAACGAAAATTATAAGCAGGGATAATATGTTACATTGGTTATGGTACATTTGATTTTTCTTAGGGATACTGTTACTTAATACATTGTCTTTGTAGATTAATTTACAGTGTTTAAATTTATGATACAGATATTTATCTTAAACTGAACAAGTACATACATTGTATTAATTACATTAGTGATTATGCTATGAAATCAATTTAACATAATTATTTTGTTTTGTGATAAACATTGCGAACATTGTATCTTTCTTGTGTACAGATTGTAAATTTTATTATTTTATACATAAAAAAAAAAAAAAAAGTTTGAGTATAACTTTTTTTAGTTTAACTAACAGTTATGAAACTTAATTCAACAAATAGATAATATTTTATAATGATTTAAAATATATTAACTTTATGCATTTTGATTAAATATAAAGCACAAAAATTGCAGTAAATACAAAAAACATAGGAAAATGTTGAAAATTCACAACAAATACTACTTTTATTTATATAATTTTTCCAGTATTATTTTATTTTGAAGTAAATGGGGTAATGATATAATACAATTATTAAAATAATAAAATTTTATATATTTTTCAACGTTACATATGACAGTGTATTTAGATTTACGTATGGTAATTGTGTTATTATTGATACATTATTTATTATTATATAATCATATTTTAGCTTGAAGGAGAAGGTATTAATTTTACTATGATGTGTTTTTTTTTTTTTTTTTTTTATGTCTGTTGCCACTTTTTCTCAGCTCTCACTGGACCGATTTCTTTTAAAAATACGTCAAAAGATCACAAATCGTATCTAGTTGAAGACATTACCCTTAAAAATTGAAAAATTTTCCCTCGTTCCTCGCAAATGGGGGAAATATCCAAAAAAATTACAAATTTAAAAATCGGTTAATTTTGTCATTCTTTTCACTTTTTTTTCTTAAAACTTCCATAACTTTTTGAAAAATCAACAAATCAACATAATTTTATTTTATACTAAAACCTTAGATATTTACCTTTCATTTGATATCATTTTTTTGAAAATCTATCACTTAACCTGCTCATTGGGGGGGATTTAAAATGGCAACTTTTTTACAAAAATTAAGGTTTCGTTCTCGTTTTTTTGTAATAGTTCCGTCTGATTCCTAAATTTATTTTGATTAATGTTTTTGTTTGGTTAAGTACTATTCAATTTTTTTTTTTTTTTTGCCTAACTTAGTCTGGACAAAAATTTTATTTAATAAACCGATTTGGTTTTTATTTTATTTCATTTCATTCAATAGAATTTATTGAAAATTCGGACCATTCAGAGCTCTATTTTATAGATGCACCATTATTTTTGTTTATTATACCATTAGTTTAAAATAGTTAATAAACAATTAATGTATTGAATGCCAAACTTGAAAGTGTTGACGTGGAAAATTTTATTAGCTTTTATAATATTATAAATTTAATACTTCAAATTGATGGATATAGTTGACATCTTAATGAATAATTTGCCAATTATAATATTAAATCCTTGACGTATAAAAATTGTAAAACATATTAGTATATTTTAAATTTGCATAATGATGTAGAAGTAATTTGGAATGAAACTTTTTGTAGTATAATTTAACTAAAATATCGACTGGTTCAATGTTTAAATCTTTAT